TCTACAGCTGCAAAAGTGCAGCGCTTTTTTGCTGGCGCTTCCCCTTCCTCCGCCCCATCCTCCTGCCTATTTCTTCTTCTTTTTTTTTTTTTTTTCTGAAAAGAGAAAAACTCCAACACACAAAGAGCTGAGCATGTGCAGGAGGCAAAAGTCTTAAAGGCACCGCAGTTCCACCACGTTGTGGGGTCCGCAAGAACTGGGAGGGGCGGGGGTTAGGGCAGCGAGGGTAGGGGAACCGTCTCCGCGGAGGGACCTCTCCAAGGGGGAGCTGTGTCTTCCACCGAAATAATGACTCCCCCGCCCCCAACAAAGAGCTGAGAGGTTCAGAACCCCCGGCGCGCCACCCCTTGCCGACGCTGCCTCGAAAACCCAGGTATCTCCTCTTTTGCTTGTCAGTGTTTCCTCTTCCATCTGGGACAGCATTCCGCTTGAAAAACACCGCAACACTGGGGCTTTTTTCAGAAGAGCAGAAAAGATGCCCCAGAAAAGCCGTTTTCCTTCCAAAGCGTCAATCTTTCCTCTTTTAGATGACTTTCCAAGATTTGATGGCATATGCTGAAATTTTTGCTTTGTACTTTTGTGCCTTCTCTAAACAGGCTATTTGAACCCTTGGGAAAGGAAGCCGAACACAAATTGCAGCCATGTATACTCAAGTTTCAAAAAGGTTACTGGAGCAGACAGTATGAAAAAGAATTTGAAATCTACCAAAGGCATCTCTGACAGCTAAAGGAGAAAAGTTTTAGTTGTAACCACACAGTCATAATATTATTGTTAACATTCAACTCTTGTTTATTTTGGACCTAATGTACCCACGTCATCTCTTTTAATCTCTATCATCCCCACTTTGCAGATGAAATCCTCCATTAACCCCATTTTGCAGATGAAGATAGACTCAACAAGGATGAAAGGTTTTGTCAATGGCAAGTTAGAAGTAAGCAGTGAACTGAGCTTTAAACACAAGCCCTCTGATTTCCATGCTTTTTCCACAATTTACCAGGCTGTTTCTATTAGCAGATGCTTTGTTCTGCTTTGGTGAATAAAATTTAAGTGTTGGCTTGATTTGTAAATGCCTCAGCAGTGATTTTAGAAAAACAAAGGTTCATAAGGAGGTGGCTCCTTAGAAAGTAAAAATAAAAAGGAAAATGATTATTTTTATTTATATAACAAATCACAATTCTCCCATAATACCAATATCGAAAATGTCAACTTCAAACCTTAAAAATTAGAATAATCCCTTCTTCCTTTCACATATTTTCTATAGCAGGATGCTCCTTAGAGACCACTTGGGATAGGAGAAGAAGAGAAGGAGAATGTACTGCAAAAAGAAAAGAAAATTTTAAAAGAGAATATTGTTCTGGACCAAACCTTTTAATTTCCATGGCTATAAAATCTAAAAAAAAAAAAAAAAAAAAAAAAACTCTTCCTAGTATTAGCCATACATGAACAATGTCTGCTGCCTTCTCCAATCTTTTCCTCACACCAGCCAAAGTTAAAAGTCAACCACGTTTTCCTCACATCTAATGCAGAGTTGCTTTCAAACATGTGGAAAGTGTCCAAGCTCTTAAAACCATTACTGAGTGTGAAGATAATTCAAAGGGTACACTGGAGCCCCTTTAAAAAGAAACCACTGCTCAACTACATACTGATGATAGCCTATTTTCCAGCTAAGGATTTGCCCATTAAAATACATCTCTTTTAATCTTGTAACCACTATAATCAGCTCAGTACTTCATGATACACTGAAGAACATGCAACCCCAGGTCTTCTCTCAACATTGCCTTTAGAATCAAGCTGGCTATATTAAATTTATATCAAATTATTCTCAGGATCGCAGGATTTCCACTTGCGCTATATCCTATTTTTCTTCGAAATTCTTTAAGTCAAGATTTACTTAGTAGCTATTATGAATTTAAGCAAGAGAGAAAACAAAGATGAATAAAACATGATTTTTCTACCCCTGGATAAGCTTATCTTCTCTTAGGCTCACTAGATTGTGAGATCCTTTTACAATTGAGTGTCACATATTTTACAAATATACACACAGAAAACTTAAATGATTTAATAATGGTCACACAAAAATTCAGTGATAAAGCTTGCCTAGAATCTCGACTATGATCAAGAAATTTAAAAACTCCAACATTACGTTATCTCTTTTTTTTTCAAAGTAGAGTCAGCATCCTAGCGGTGCTATGCAACACTACAATAATTTGTAGTATTGGTAACACCAGTTATAAATCCAGCAGAAAAGTGAAAATTTACTCTAGAGACGTAGTGGAGGGAAAGTCAGTTTTACTGAAGTAGAATGAAACTGTTAAAATGGGAATTATTAAAATTTCTCCAAGGGGAAAGATAGAGTATATTTGTTTTCTCCACAATTAGCCTTGTATCAGGATCTTTAGCTCTTTTGAAGAGTGTGTTTTATTTCCGCTTATACCACTTAACAATGGTACTATAAAATGATAGGGAAAATCTATTTGGCACATGGCCAAATTGTTTGAAGGCCATTCAAATGATACATTCACTGATGTTTTTATTGCTATTCAAAAAGTAATAAACCAAAGCATCTCACATCCCCTTCTCAGTTGCTTGACTGAAGAATGATCTCCACTCTGGTTATTTGTTCACCATTTGGCCCATACGAGGCTTCTGAAAGCACCCAAGATAATGAGCGTGCAGATAGTCTGGCCCCAAGAGCCAGAAATGCATTCATCGAAAGGAATCCTTAGTGTGATTGAGGCAGTATTTTTAAGACACTGATAGAGCAGGAATAGTCTGTGAGAGTAGGCAGGAAAGAAAAAGTCAACTTTAGGTACTCATTAAAAAATTACTGAAGGTATTAAAAGTATTATAAGGTTATGATCTGAAATACACACCCCCACCACCAAAATCTGACACTCATTTTTCTCTTGGATTCATTCTTTTCTTCTACCGGTTTTTCTTGCTGTCACACTTGTAAACACACACATACACTCTGATCCTGCCAATTTTTCTACTTAACACATTTCAAACATATTGTTATAAGTAAATCCAAGGAAATAAACCCAAAGAGTCTAAATTCACTATGCAGGGCTAATCCATTTAAGTGGGAAATAAAATGAGCATCCTTAAAGCTCTCATCCTAAATATTCAGACTTGTTACCAAAAAACAGTTGATTGCTAGTAGTCAACTGCAGAAATTTGACCTTTGTGAAATTTAATTCAATAAAAATAACGGCTAGGAATTCCTGTTCAACATAGTAGGCTAAGGATATTCATTGACCTCTGTTCCAAGCTCTACTAACATGATAGGAAAGAATTTTTTTTAAAAAAATGACAAAGAAAATGGGAAAAGAACCAACTAGTAGATGAGAGGTGTCAATGCACTTGGAAGGGTCAATGTATCGGAAGGAGGAAAGTAAATGGAGAAGTGGTAACTAGCATATACATGCCTGCTTATACATGTACATACAGACATCTGTGCCCCAAGCCGACAGAGCAACCAGACCAACTTGGAACAGAGGACTGGGAACAG